GTTTATGACTCGTGCAAGTAAGTGAACTCAATAACATTCATAGCATATTTGGTTAATGCACTTTTACCTTCTTCTATAGCAATATGGCAGTGAAAGAGCTTGTTCAAGCTTCTATTTTGTCTCTTATGTCCTCGTCTTTATGTTCTTTTGAACTTTTTGATTATTTTTTTACAGGTACGACCTCTTGCACAATTCACATCTGAATCTAGGGGGCTTGAATGAACTTTTTAAGGTTGCTCAGGTACAATGATGATCAACTACAAATATGAGTAGTTTCTTATGAAAAAAGAACGGATTCCTCCACAACCCCCCACCCCACCCCTACCCCCAAGAAAGGAAAAAAAAAACAGAATCCAAAACAAGGTTTTAGTCTGGTATCATATTACCTTATCTTAGTTTTCTCTGTAGCAACACTTCCATATGACATTGCTACTTTTCCAGCTCCGTAGGCTATGAGTCTGTTGTCTCCAGTATTCCTGAAATTCTATTTTTTCAAATATATGAGGGTTTTGCAATGTTATCTATAGAGTTATTATGACCGACTTCTAAAAGAAAGTGTGATTGTTTTTGAGTTTCAGCTACTTGCAGATGGTGTTATTCCAAATGAATATGGGATAAATCCAAAGCAGAAATTAAAGATTGGATCAAAGGTAAAACTTCTTACATTCAGATCCAGGTCCATTTCTCAGTGTTTTCCTTTGTCTGAAGTAGACCGATTTCATGTGTTCTTTCTTGTCTACCTATTGTTGGATAGAGGGAAGTAACCTAATATCATTTTGTACCACCCTATTCACTATTGGCACCCTTATATTTCATATCTTAATCTGAATGAAGGAGTGTGTAGTCATTGAAGAAGTCTGCCTAAGTTGTGTTTTGCTTGAGAGTTCCTGGTAGATGTATTAGGTATCTTTTTGTAGTTTGTCAGTTCTCCCTCCACATCTCGTCAAATAATAATGTCCACAACTACTAAATCAATTGGTTCACCAGCTTTCAGAGTTTCTCGTCTCTTATCACTGGTCTGCAATAAGGATTTGAGACTACTAGTTATCGCCGCTTTACATGCTACTTTGGCTGTGCCTACTGTCCACTAAGTTTCCTGAACTAAATTTTACTGTTTAAGGTTTTCAAAAATCGGGAAATAATTAACAATAATTCTTCTCCTCCCCAGCTAACTTATCTTGGGTCCGCCACTATTTTGTTACTCACTTTTCCTACGAGAATGTAATAAAACAAGGGTGGTGCAATTAGTTTGCATTTATTTGGCTTCTTGTATGGTGGTGAAGGCTCATATAGACATCAATGCATAATCTATGAGTTGTTCATTCAGGTTGCTCGCCGCTTGTTGGGTAAAATTATGATTGATCTAAGGAATACCCGTGAAGAAGCTCTAAGTGTGGCCGAATTGAAAGGTAGTCAAGACAATTTAGCAGTGAATAAGACAACAAAGGAAGATACAGAGTATCATACCAAGCCTCACACTCGTAATGAAGAGTCTCGAAGAACTAGCTTCAATAGTGAGAGATCCATGGATCAAGATGATGATGACGACAAAGAGCCTAAGTACCGCTTAGATCCAAAGTATGTGGTCCCTTTTATTCACTTAGTTAGATGTTCGGTGAACTTGTATTTCGTAGTGCTACTTTTGTGTTTATCTAGAAATGTGTCTGTAAATTAAGATAAGAATGTGAAGTGCTTTGTTGTATTGTATTTGATTATTTTGTGATTTACCTTTTTCAGGTATGCAAATGTCAGAACACCTGAAAGACATGTGCGAACACGCCTGTACTTCACATCAGTAAGTGGAAACTTGCAATTGAATTTTCTTGTTATTCTACTATATTTTCTAGCTGATGTACGTGTTTTTGGCCCAAGGGAACTTTTTTGGCTCGCATAGGAGCAGCATCTTGAAGATCAAAATAAATAAATAAATAGAAATGTCCTATTTTAGCTTGACATTTTAGTTGAGTTGGTTCACATAACTTAATTATTGTAAAAACTAATTAACAAAGAGCCAAACTCTAAATCAACTTCTATAATATCAAATATGGATGATTAATTCAGACTTTGGAGTTTATAAACAGTTGATGCGTGAAGGAGAATAATCCATCACCTAAAAATAATTCTCATTTTTCTTCAGCTGACTCAATTCTGTCATATGTAACAATATAATATGTATGCAATGTGGTATTTCTCTGTTTGAACATATATTAACCCTGCTTGTTTGATATGATTAGATTCTTGTTAAGACACTTTAGTGCTATTAACATATTGCTTACTGTTACTTTCTCTATTTAGATTTTCCCCTAATCCCCTCCTATTCCTTTCTCCAATTTTAGTTTATTGATTGTTTGACTCGACAGGAGTCACATATCCATTCCTTGATGAATGTTCTTCGTTATTGCAACCTGGATGAGTCTCTTCAAGGAGAGGACAGCCTTGTGTGCGATAATGCTTTGGATCGCTTGTACAAAACCAAGGAGCTAGATTACATGAGTTATATTGTATTGAGGATGTTCGAGAACACAGAGGTTCGTACATCTTTTTTTCCTTCTGAAGAACAAGAAAATGAAAAGGACGGGATAAGTAGTTGCTCATGTGAACAAGTATTTTGGTGTACCTTAATTATTATATGGAAGCTATTTGCTGCTTTTCTTGGGTGTCTGCGGGTAACTCTGCATCTTTCTATTAAGGCTTTACAAGCAAAGAGGCTATCTTGAATGTCATAATGTTTTGAAGAACTGAAACTATATAGTGATCTCCTCATTTTTTCTTGGTAAGTAAAAAGAGATGTGTTATTTTCAAATATTTTAGCGCACTGCTAAACTTTGCCAAAGACTGTCTGGGATTTACCCTTGATTAGCATTGTAGCAACATGTGATGTAATAATGTTTTTGTCTGATGTGAAACTCCTGATAGATATCTGTCGGATTCATATTATATTGAAATTTGATGCAGGTGGCTCTGGAAGACCTTAAAAGGTTCCGCATAGAGCTAACTTTTAGTCGTGGTGCCGATCTATCACCACTTGAGGTATTAGTCATGTCACCTCTTTTTTGTTATTGTCTATGCCAAGTTGTGTTTAGAAATGAGTAGTCCGTACAAGAATTGTTTTGAATTATGACATTGAAGATGAAAGAGACTACAGCTTGTTTTCGTACCATGGTTAATTTGCAGGTAAATGATGAGATAGCTGCTTCATTGCATCAAGAGCACACACTGCCAATAATGGGTCCTGAAAGGCTTCAAGAAGTTGGGTCATATCTTACGTTGGCAAACATGGAAAAACTGGTGCGTCCATTTGCCATGCCAGCTGAAGATTTCCCACCACCGTCAACTCCTCAAGGGTTTTCTGGATATTTCTCGAAAAGTGCATCGGTTTTAGAGCGCCTGGCAAAGATTTGGCCCTTCCACAAGCATGTGAACAACAATGGGAAGTAGTACACTATTTTCCCCTGTTGTGGATGTTTCTGCTATCAAACTGAGTTGTGGAGATTGTTTCCTCTGGAGGTATTTTACATTCAAATCAAGAATCAGCAACAGCTGAAGAATTCTGGAAGAGGAGCTACACGGTCAATTACCGTCCATTTAGACATCCTTTTCTCTTCCATTATTCGTTCACATAGATAAAGGGAATTTTTTGCAGTAACGTTTAGCGCCAGCCTGGGCTCACAAACCTACATATATAATAGAGTCGGCCTATAATGTAAATGAGCTCTACTTTGAATTCTTATTTGCTGTTTAATCTTTTAATTCTTTTGCATCTTGCTTATATATTGACTTAGTACTGCTATTCGTGAAATGTCTGATTAGAAGCAAGAAATTCCCAATGACGTGCTCCTATATTCATAGAAATGTCATGGCATATTTCAAATCACAAGAGGCGGAGTGAAAAAGCTGAGAAAATAATTCGTACTTCTAATGACATTAGTAACCGTAAAAGTGGATAGGAAGCAGGAGTGCCATTATACTATATGTTAGAAGCATGTGAATAAGAGCTGAAGGGAAAAAAAAAACAAGATAACCATTAATTTTCTCATTTTTTACTCAAAGTTCTAGCTGAGCTGTTTGGAACGTGCTTTCAAAGATATATTTGGTAGTATTAAATTTGATTGTTTTGAACATTTACGCAAATGTGACTCTAGCTGAAATCCAGAAAGTGACTACTAATTTCAAAATGTAGCATTATTCCACGTACTTGTATCAAATGGGGACTGTGATTTGAAAAGACCTTGTATACATGGGACTTGCAGAAGTAGCCTGTAAGGCATAGGGAAACCCCTACTGCACATCTGTGTGGATAAGTGTTTTTTTTTAAAAGAAAAGGAAAGTTAGAAGATTCTCTAACTTCAAGACGGAAAGGAAAGTTATGTTTGGATTACAAAAGATAATCATGCAATCAAACTAAGGTATATCATCAGACTTAAACCATTTCTTTCTTTTATTCTTCCTTTTTGTGTGGGAAATATGCAATTTCCTCTTTCTCCGTGCAGACTAAGATTGTGAAAGGCGTGTTCAAATCGATTCCTAAATTGAAGATTATTGACATAGATACGGATACAACACAGCTAGCATACATTTTCTGAGATCAATGGTTAAAAACTACTTTTACATGGCATATATACTTCAGCCTCTACTGCTATAATAATGATGAACTTTCTGTAATTCAAAAAACTTGGCTCATAAAATAAAATCCCAAATGGGTAAGGCTTTTGCTTGCCGATAGAGTTCTGACTACTGAGTGAGTACGCATGAGATTTCAGAGTTAGATCTGCTTACTGTTCTTTATTGCAAGTACAATCATGCCACAGTATATCCACCCTTTCTTATATTTCATTAGTAGAATTGATTTTGACGACTTCGTTCTATGTTCTACCCAATTTTCTCAAATGCTTGTTCGTTTCTTTTTTCCCCAAATAAAGGCTAACATCATCATAATTGATGGGACTGAAAGCCCTATTTGAGTTAACAAGACCACTCTGAACTCCCATTTTCTCATATTCTGAAGCAGTAACAGGCAAATCATGAATTCAAAGTTTCAAAGAGTACAATAACACAATTAGAAACTTAAGCAGGGAAAAAATGAAAGACTTCAGAAGGTCCGTCAAATCACATCAGAATAAGGCAGTAATATGCTTTTTTAACTTATTGGATATGAAATTCAGCTCCAATATTATCAAGAGGTTGTTAGAAGAACTAAGCAGCATATTTAGGGGCTTCCCTGTGCTTGAGAATCTTTTTCTCGAGCTCATCTTTCTTAGCCCCAACAACTCTCTCTACTTCCTTGCCTTGCTTCAGCAGCAAAAATGTCGGCATAGCTTGAACTCCGAACTCTTTCGCTACATCCTATTATAGAACCAAAGAAACAAAATCAATCAGTATCACTACAGGTCGATCAATGATAAATTTATGACTAATTCCAAATTGAAATTTTCACGTCACTGACCGAGAGCTCATCGACGTCAATTTTGACGAAGTCAACGTCGGTATACTTGGAAGCCATGGCGTTAATAGCCGGCTCCATGAACTTGCAAGGCCCGCACCATGCAGCCGCAAAATCCACAACTATCTGGCAATTAGATTCATTGATCAAAGTCAGATCTCTCAAAAAATTAAACCCTAAATTTTTGCAAAAGCGAATAGATAACGTTGAGATACCAGTTTATTCAATTGCTTGGAGGAGTTGAAGTGAAGTTGCCACCGATTGGAGGAATGAAAAGCAATCACACGCGACGGCTCTGACGGCGATCCTGACACTTCCGTCGCTGCCTGCGCTTCACCTCCACCGAGAAAACTTGAAACATACGACCCCATTCGACTTCTCTCTTTCGCTCACTTCTTACGCAAAGTAGTCAAAATAGAGAAGAAATACGAAGGTAGTAATAGCGCTGCTTTTATTTTATCTTACGCGAATTCCTAATGTCAAATTGGAATTTTGTTTTAGCTTGGTTGTCATTTTGCGGCAGTATAATTAAAATATGTATTCAAACATTAATATATTTGTTCTCCAGTATGATTTACTTATTCAGAAAGAACATAAATATTTAAAACCACTCATTTTTAAGATAAGATATATTTAATTTTTTTTTAAAAAAAGAAAATGGTAATCGAAGAAACAATTATTTAATTTGTCAAATAATTACAGCACCATTTCTTATACGACGGAAGAACTAAAACGGTATCACACCAGTTTGATTCACATTGTGGTCTTGATTCGATTTTATTACTTTAAAAAAGTAGAAGTAAATAACACAAGAACTTTTAAAATGCAGTTTTTTCTTAATAAAATATCAGGTCATTGTCAAAGGGGAAGTTTTCGTGCTACAAAGTTGTCTGATGGAGCTTAATCCTTTTGACAGCCTATGTAACAGTACATTCTCTCCCACCCAAAATGCAAATGCTACATCCAACAGATATCAACCACTCTTCTTCTACAAAGCATTAAAACAATATACAGTAAAATATTCTAAGAAGGAAGCATTCCCATATAATTATTTCAGGAAGCTTTGCCTGAGAAAAATCGACTGTATACTAGCAAAACCACAGGGAGACATTGTTTATATTTATATTGCTAAACACACAAATATGATCCCTTGTGAACTTATTCCCACTGCATACAGTTTGCTCGAGTTTCTCTTCAAGTGGAAGCTTTAAATAAATAGACCAATGGTTCAGTCTTTTAGCTTCCGCTGAACTTTCAGGAACAATATAGCTTAACAACTTGATGTAGGATCTACATTCTCTTGTTGCACCACAGTTGAGACACCAGAGAACTGAAGAAACAAAGACGTATGAAAAGACTAGATATTCTCTCCTTCAGAACAAAAGGAAAAGACTGATTGCATTGAAACAGGACAAAACTAGTATCACCATCCTGTCTCTTCCTAGCCTTTCATCCAGCTATACACATTCATGGCAGATGAAAAAGTTATGAAGCAAATTCCACAATCCCCCAAACCTAAGGGGATACGGTCATTTTACCAGTACAACAGGAAGCCCATTTGCAGATGTTTCATTGAAATGGAATAGGTACTCCTTGCTTCTTGTTCACAATTGTCATTGCCAAATATCTGGTCCCCATCCCAATAGGTGCCTGCCCCTCAGGACCCTCCCAGAATGGGGCCTCGCCTTCACCCACCAAACGCCAGTAACCTGTTCTTAAAGAATCAGCCTGTTCATCTGTGCAGTTCTCCATCAATGCCTCAACCCTGAAATTTATTCCAAGTGATCCAAGAAACTGAGACTGAGTCATTGGGCCATTCACAGCCACATCATCTGTGAAGTTGATCATTAGAACAATTAAATCAACATTGAATATCTTCTAGTAAAAGTTAACCTTGGAATATAGAAACTTTAAGAGATTGGAGCTAAGGAGATTCTAATAAAATGTACCTGAAGCTTCCTCTGCAGAGTGCCTGATTGCAGCAAAGTCAACATAAGCACTAAGATCAGCAGTTCCAGGATCATCAAGTATATTAACAAATCCATGTTTTCGGATAGCCTGTTTGATAAAAATAGGAGAATAACCATCACCATCAACTGATAGATAGGAATGAAAACATCAAGAATCTTCATCACTTTCTTAACCTAAATGAAACCTCTTAATTCGTCTTTAGCAATAAAAATGATTAACGACTCGGAGGCCAAAATTTAAAATGGTAACTGTGAACAGGTATAGCTCCCCTAATCAGTTAGATATTGCATATAAAGCTATTGCAATTTTAGTTTGTACTACCAGCACGAAAACGAGCTTCCCTTCGTACCAAATCAAATAATGTGCTCATGTGTAGTCAATTTAAGAAACTTTCAGGTTGATATTGTAACTTTAAAATTCTCATTTTACCCTTTATGAAATGATTTATAACCACACTGCCACACAAATGTCCAATGATTGTTTCAGATCATAAGTTTCAAAAGTCTTCCATTTTTTCTTAATTCCTTGTCCAGTCAAACAGTGCCACGTAAGTTGGAACGGAGGGATTACACATTAGTGAGATTTTGAGCACTTAGAAAAGTTATTTCCATCTTAAACTATATATGCTTTCTAATTGGGAGTTGGAAACATCCCAACATGATCGACACACTTACAAAGTAGTTACAATTTACAAAACTTCCTCATGATATATACAAACTTTCGGGAACTTTAAATCATTTTTACTTCATCAAACCAGCTTTTCAAGAAACAATGTAATGTTGTCCTTCCTCTATTACCAAAATCACATACAAGTCAAATTAACTGCTCAATTTTCAAGCCAAATATGATTTGTAATGAAATAGAATAAATTAGTTGTATGTCATAATTAGACTTTGCATGGTTACTAACATAAGAGTTCAGAATTCATAACATTTACGGGGATAATTGTGTTCCACATAACATGTTCAAAATTTTCCTTGATGCATAGCAGGATAGCTCAGATGGAGCGAATTAGACAGTGAGGATTTATGTAGCTGATCCCAACAGGCTTGGGATTGAAACGTAGTTGTTATTGCGTATTGTGGGATAGCTCAAAAAGGGAAGTGAAATTCAATTTGGATGAAAGATGCAAATCTTAACAAAGAACAATTTGTTTGCCTCCTAAGCTGAAACGTAACATTGAATTTAGAAAGGTGGACAGAGGCATTGAGCCGAAAGCCCGAAACAACAAAAGGTCATTGAAAATAACTATTTAAGAAATCATTTGATCTTTGACATACTCGCATTTGTTAGACAATATGCACCATTGAACTTTTTGATATTTGATCACCTACTATTCCAAAGGAACAAAAAACAATATTGAGTGTTGACTTCATGCTAGTGCAATCAGAGATTGAGCATCGAGAAAATACAGATCACACGTTTTCAACCAGTTTCTTGGTCCAGCCACTGTTCCCATTTTCTATGAAAATGAAGCAAAGCAGAAGAAAATGGATTTGGCCACCCAAAACAAAGGAAGTAGGAAAAGAACTTTTAGTATTGCAACTGACCTGAAGACTGTCTGACACTATTCCATTTAGACCATAATCAATAATGAGTGCCCCGCCACCATCTGAGCCAATTCTTTTAGCAATTTCTTGAGTCAACTCTATTGCTTTGGGGCAAACCTCAACTTGTTCAAGCTTGCCTATATCTTCATTCTCAGCCCATTTGAAACGCTTCAGAAGATACAGAGTTGCAGGAGTTGGCTGTTTAGATAAAACAAACTGAAACCTACCCGACAAAGTACAAAAGGAAGTTACAAAGGGGCAATATTACAAGAAATTAATGTAGGAAGAGATAGATATGATAGACTAGCTTGAGACCTTACATTGAATTTTCAGCAACATCAACCATTTTCTCACACCAACCTCGAGATGCTCTCTGCATGTATATGAAGAAATCAATCTGATGCTCACGATACTACAATAAATGTCAAGCCAGGTAGAAAAGATACTAGATTTAAACTTCCACAGGCACAAAAACAAGATTCTAAAATCTAAAGTACCACCTATCAAGCTGATGCTCATAATACTAATAATACTATATGGACACAATCTTTAATCTAAATTTCCTTTTTCTTCTTTTTTTCTGTGAGTGTGTGTGGAGGGTGCGGGGTTAATTCCATTAGGCACAAAATCAGACTACAAAGATCAAGTATTTCATTGTATTTCCATCTTCAGGATATTCTCTGGTAGTTTCGTAGTTTAAATAATAGATGAAAGTGGATAATTTGCAGTAAAATGTTTAACTGGAAACTGTTGGGTAAAAATGGATTAACAAATCTTATTAACTGATAAAATAGAGGTTATACAAACGAACCTGAAACTGATGAACAGGTAAGGCATCGTAAAATTCATGGGCAATAATGATTGTAGGTACTGAGAAGTCAAAGAAAAGAAAATGTAAGAAAACCTATATGTAGATGATAATACAATTTTCCATTGAAGCTTCAAAATCAAATAGAAGAAAACAATAGTATGTCTGTACGATCATGAAACATTTGAACTGGTTTACACTTTAAAGAACATGTAATTTACTAAAATAGCTGGTAATAATTTCTTACTTCCTGCCGGAACTTGCTCCAGGGTGGCATGCCATGATACACTGGTCCCAGTCAACCTGCTTATACTGTGTTCCTCTGCATCTCCATCTGTATCATTCTTGTTTATACACATCAAGTTCTGATATTGGAGTTTCTTTAGAGTTGGACTACATTCAACCATGTGTATGTGCAAAGAATCTGTGAAGTTCCTAAATTTTGATGCACCCTGTGGTTCAGAAATCAACAAGTACATTTTAGGCATATCAGAACAAGATCAGTACTTTAAGAATCGACATAAAAAACTTAAGAATATGCAAGCTGGAGAGGATGTATATCAATGGGACTGTACACGTAGAAGATCAGCTAAGAGAGTTCCTCGTCCTGGTCCCAGCTCTACAAGATTTATTTTTTTCGGTTGCCCCATTTGCTCCCAAAGACACATGGCCCAAACACCAACCATCTAAGAAAAAGAAAATCAGGAAATCAAACAAAACACTGGTGGTAAATTTGGCTCTTCTTTTTTTTAAAAACTCCACCAATCATGAAGGAAGAAAATCAATCAGAAAAACCCCACTGTATCTAAATTACCTCTCCAAACATCTGGCTTACTTCAGGAGAGGTAATAAAATCACCTTCTGCGCCAAACACATCGCGATTAATATAGAATCCTGCCTTTGGGTTAGTCAAGACTTCCTCCATATATTCGGCAACTGAGATGGGCCCGCCTCTGAACTGAAAACATAACCAGCTTAAGATATTGAATCTCAAGAGCAAGGGGGGAAACAAAAGATGAAGATATCTGCAGACTTTCCCAGTTCACCAATGTATATTTGGCCAATTGTTTAACGGTTTTTTACTTTTTATCTACTGAGAAATGGTTTCACCTGCAATTATCCCATACCAGTCAGGGATATGGCCAATATGTTGATGAGACTAGTGAGGAAATGAGGAGCTACTTATTGATTTGATTCATATA